GGTTACTTTGGTGCTGTTGGCTGTATGTTGGAGTTAATGCGGACTGGAGATGCCATGGCATCGTCTTAAAGGTTAATCTTTATATGTTAACATAGTATTTTTGAACTTAGGTCCAATTACAAATTTCCTAAATACAGGTAGATATATACTGTATATAGATACATACATACATACAGTGGAACCTTGGTTGTTGTATGCCTTAGTCTGTACGTAAAACTATAGTTATTTTCTATAAAATGTATTTTTTGTTAATATTTTTGGGTGTCTGGAGCAGATTAATTAGATTGACATTATTTCTTATGAGAAATCTTAACAAAAAATACATTTTAGAGAATAACTATAGTTTTACATACAGACTAGGGCATACAAAAACCAAGGTTCCACTGTACATACATGTAGATACATAGGAGTATGTGTGTGGGGTCTCACACACACTCATAAATGCATACACATACATGTACACAAGCATAAATGTACACTCAAACATATTTACACAGATGAATACACATATACATGCACATCACAAACCTACTGGAGTTTTATGACAAGATAACAGAAGTAAGACAAGAGAGAGAGGGGTGGGTATATTGCATTTTCTTGAACTGCAAGAAGGCTTTTGACACAGTTCCACACAAGAGATTAGTGCAAAAGCTAGAGGATCAGGCACACATAACAGGAAAGGCACTGCAATGGATCAGAGAATACCTGACAGGGCGGCAACAACTAGTCATGGCACGTGACGAGGTGTCAGAGTGGGAGCCTGTGATGAGCGGGGTTCCACAGGGGTCAGTCCTAGGACGAGTGATGTTTCTGGTATGTGAATGACATGATGGAAGGGATACTCAGAAGTGTCCCTGTTTGCAGATGATGTGAAGTTAATGAGAAGAATTCTTTCAGATGCAGATCAGGTAGGACTACAAAAGGACCTGGACAGGCTGCAAGCGTGGTCCAGCAACTGGCTCATGGAATTTAACTTCGCCAAATGCAAAGTCGTGAAGATCAGGGAGGGGCAAAGAAGACCACAGAGTACAGGCTAGGGGGCCAAAAACTGCAAACCTCACATATCTGACACCTCAGTAGGAATTGTTCAAGACTGTACACCGTGTATGTCAGGCAGATGTTGGGGTATGCACCACCAGTTTGGAACCTATATCTGGTCAAGCACATCAAGAAATTGGGAAAAGTGCAAAAGTTTGCAACAAGATTAGTCCCGGAACTGAGGGGTATGTGTTACGAGGAGAGATTAAGGGAACTCAATCTGATGACACTAGAGGATAGGAGGAAAGGGGGGGAGGACATGATAACGACATGTAAAATACTGGAAGGAATTGACAAGGTGGACAGGGCTCGAATGTTTAACCCATAAATGGTCCAAACATATATATATACGTTTTTTCGACATTTGAAAGTATGTAAAAAAAGTAATCTTCTTTTTTGTTTTTCTACATTTGAAAATGTGTAAAAAAACTTTGATCTACTTTTTTTTGTGTTATATTTGAAAATATGTAAAAAAAAACTTAGATCTACTTTTGTAGCACTACACATGTGAACGTAGATCTGCTTGGACCGTTTACGGGTTAAGAGATGGGACACAGGAATTAGGGGCCACAGTTGGAAGTTGAAAACCCAGATGAGTCATAGGGATGTTAGGAAGCATTTCTTTAGCCTTAGAGTTGTCAGGAAGTGGAATGATCTGGAGAATGAAGTAGTGTAAGCAAGTTCCATACATAGCTTTAAGAAGAGGTATGATAAACCTCATGGAGCAGGGAGAGAGAGAATTAGTATTGACTAGTGAAGAGGCAGGGCCAGGAGCTATGACTCGACCCCTGCAACCACATATAGGTGAGTACACACACACACACGCTACGGGGATTGTCCTATGAAGAAAGGTTGAGGGAAATCGGCCTGACGACACTGGAGGCCAGGAGGGTCAGGGGAGACATGATAACGACATATAAAATACTGCGCGGAATAGACGAGGTGGACAAAGACGGGATGTTCCAGAGATGGGACACAGACACGAGAGGTCACAGTTGGAAGTTGAAGACTCAGATGAATCAAAGGGATGTTAGGAAGTATTTCTTCAGTCATAGAGTAGTCAAGCCGTGGAATAGCCTAGAAAGTGAAGTAGTGGAGGCGGGAACCATACATAGTTTTAAGGCGATGTATGATAAAGCTCATGGAGCAGGGAGAGAGAGGACCTAGTAGCAATCAGTGAAGAGGTGGGGCCAGGAGCTATGACTCGACCCCTGCAACCACAAATAGGTGACTACATACATACATACACCTACATACACCCATACATATACATACACACATACATACATACACACACACCTACATACACACACACCTACATACACACACACCTACATACACACACACCTACATACACACACACCTACATACACACACACCTACATACACACACACCTACATACACACACACCTACACACACACACACCTACACACACACACACCTACACACACACACACCTCACACACACACACACACACACACACCTACACACACACACACACACACACCTACACACACACACACCTACACACACACACACCTACACACACACACACCTACACACACACACACCTACACACACACACACCTACACACACACACACCTACACACACACACACACACACACACACACACAACACACACACACACACACACACACACACACACACACACACACACACACACACACACACACACATGACATAAGCGGTATTAAATTTTACACACTCATGTAAGTAACGAACTATGAGGAAAGAGCAGTATGGTCTTGAAGTTACTCTATTTGGCCAGCTAGCACACAGTGTCCACTGGTTCTTTTTCACACTTTGTTACCTTCACAATAGTATAGTATGAATTTTCAGTTTACCTAGATAAAAGTGAAGGGCACAATGGCCCAATATTA